AAGGTGAGGCATGTTATAATAAAAATGTTTGAATGCAACAAAGAAAACACAAATCTTTATGTTTTATAAAAATATACAACATACACCTTTACATTTTCTTTACATTTACATTTGTACTAAAGACTGATTTTTTTTATTCATCCCGGCAGGTGTGAATTCACAGTGTGAGTCACAGGGGGCGCCACTAGGTATGTGGTTGCTCTGGGGCTTGAACCCTGGACCTACTGGATGTAAGGCAGGTGTGATAACCACTAAAATATGGAACCACAAAAACTGATCACCCAAACATTTCATGCCCCCCCTCGAGGATTTCTGATCAATAACACACACACACACACACACACACACACCTCACCTGCCACGGCTCAAACCTGCTGATGTCAGCGCAGCTCTTCCCTTTGAACGGTCCTTGTCCGTCCACGCAGTGCTCCAGGTTGTGTAAGGCGTTTGCCACCGCGTACACAGCTTTATATACACTGAGAGAGGGAACATGATGAAGATGAAGATGATGAAGATGACATCATCATCATCATCATCATCATCATCATGATGAATGTCAGCGCCCCATCTGACCTGTAGGTGATCCGTAGCTGCGACACGTCAGAGTACGTGTTGTTGAGCTTGGACAGAGACTCGGTTCCTGAACAGAACTTCACTGCAGCTTCTCTCTCCGTCCGAGTTCCGTTGGCGCCCCTCTGTTTGGACCTCATCGCTCTGACCGGGTCCAGGGTGCAGTCGAAGGCCTGAAGGAGAGGGGAAAAAAATCATTCCTGGGATTTATTTACAAAGAGTTACATGTTTTAATTTGCCTTTTTATGATCAACACACCGTCTCCCAGAATTCCTCAGTAAGGTCATCATCATAGGGGTCGAGGTCCAGTAAATGGCGCTGAAGGTCAGGGATGTCCGCCTTCTTCACACCGAAGCCAAGTGTCCCACCCAACAGTGACCCCACCTGGACGAGAACAGGAACATGTGTTTGGACTAAACTCCTCCAACCCCACGACCCCAATGACCCCAATGACCCCATTGACCCTAAGGACCCTAACCCATGACCAAACCTCGGGCTGGTTGATGAGCGCGGAGGTTATCCAGGCCTCGCTGGCGATCCAGGTGCGGTTGGTGACGTTGTGGCGCAGGAGCTCAAGTAAGAGTGGACTGAAGTCAACGTCGGAGGAGAAAACCACGATGATCTTGGCCGTGGATTCAATGACAGTGTCGACGATTCGCTGGATGTCCTCAGGCGACTCCGTCTGTGGATTTGACACCAGTTTAACAGATTTGTAAAAATCAATCAATCAATCAATCAATCAATCAATCAATCAATCAATCAGCCAGAGGAGTAAACCTTGGGCAGGGTCTCAGAGAAGGAGATGCAGACCCCGGCTTCCTCCACCTGCTCTTTGAAGTCTTTGATACCATATTTGCCGTAGTCGTCATCTGCAGCGATGGTGCCGACCCAGGTCCAGCCAAAGTGGAGCACCATCTGGGCCATGGCCGCAGATTGATGCACATCATTGGGAATGGTCCTCAGGAAGGTGGGGAACTGGTACTTAGTGGACAGGAAGGAGCACGTGGAACTGTAGCTGACCTACAAGAGGACCAGAACCTCAGGTTGTTGACCACAAGTGTATGTTGTTAGCCCGTAGGCTACGCTAACACCTAGCGTCCTACCTGTGGAAAGTGATAAAGCCCCAGGATCCTGGCGGTGGCGATGGCGAGGTCGGTGCCCCCCGGCCCCACCAGAGCAGCCAGCGGGGGCCCGTCGCCACAGCGGTAGTTGGGGACGGCCTCGTCCTGGCCCGTCAGGTAGGTGAGGGTCCCCTCCACCGCCTTGGAGATGGTGAAGCAGGAGTCGTAGATGACGTAACCCAGGTCGGTGTCGGGGAGCAGCTCCTTGTTGTTGTTGATTTCATTGATGGCGAACAACATGGTCTGAGTCCAACGGAAGGTCCGGAAATTAAAGCTGAGGGAGTTTAGGAGACGAGGGTTTGATTTGATAGATCTGTGATTATAGATCAGTCATCGATCCATCTGATTGGACTTGAATCAGATTCTAATATTCTGTACGAGATGATGAAACGATGACTGCTCTCTCCAGGAAGTTCTAATTAAAACATATTTGATCACATCCTCAAAAAGTTGATATTATTAATTATCTTTGTTTATAAAAAGCTGACATTTTAAAGAGCTGCTAATTGTTGTTGCTGTTACACTCTGCTACAGTCCTGCTCAGATGGATTCTAGATAATTGGTCCCACAGGTGCAACGCTGCTCTGTCGTCATTTATGGTAAAATCACAAAATAAAAGACCTTAAAATTCAACCCTGAGTCCAATTTATTTAAAAGAATCATTTGAATCAACGTTTTCTCCTCCAGTGATCTCTGGTGTTAAAGACTTTAAAATATAGAACAACATAATAACAAGAATAATTCAAACCAATCCAAAAGTGTGAAACTTGCCCTTCACATGCAGAGGAGACCGGAGCCCTGGAGCTGTTGGAGTTGGTGGAGGCGATGCGTTTGTGGACAGGAAACATGCCTCCAATGACGACCTGCTTCTTCTCCACGTCCTTGTAGCCGTTCAGCGTGAACCTGGCCTTCAGTTTGCAGGTGGACGCTGCTGAGGCACACCTGCAAAGGCAGGAAAAAGCACAAAATCCAAGCCACAAAAGTCTGATTTCCATGCTACGCTGATGCGGAGAGGAGAGGATGGAAGTGGAGCTGCTGCTGAGGACGCTGCCTCTGTGACAGGTGTCTCGCCCTCACCCTGGGGGCGTTTACAGCACGGGGTGAGAAACAGGGGCAAAGGTGTCCACGCTGGATTTAAAGGAGTCACAGTTTCATGTTCCTGAGACGAGAGACACACGGTGGTTCATTCTGGTGATTTTAGTGAATTCTGGAGAAGCTAAAAAAAATATATATATTTTTTTTGTTCCTGAAGAATTTAAATTTCTGTCTTAGAATTTGTCTCTGGATCAGCAAAGACTGGACCATTGAAACATTTACAGACTGATTTATGTTTTTCTATCAAACAACAATGAAACATCAGATTATTTAATCATTTTTTATCTTTCTGTAAATACCATTGACTTTATTATTCTGTGCTCCGTCGGCTGCAGGAGACAAAGTGCCAGAGGCCAGGAGTTAATTAACAACTGCCTGTTGTAACTTGTACCAACTGTGCACAACAGCACCACACGGCTACTGTTCCAACATCAGTCCCTGGAGTGTGTGTGTGTGTGTGTGTGTGTGTGTGTGCTGATGGATGACTGGACCTGTCTGCTCTTGTCTCTCAGTCAGCAGGGACCAACACACACACACACACACACTCGTTCAACCACGGTCAGCGACAGAACAGCACCCAGCGTTAATGAGCTTCTCTCAGATCAAAATACAAGTCAAAGTTTTCACTTTCATTAAAAAACATGAACAAATGATGAAGATGAGAAATAAACACTTACCATTTAAATCAAACTCTAATCCATTGTTTCTGCCATCTATGAATATGAATCATGAGGTTCATCAGCACAGGAAGACAGCAGCGAGGTGTGCAGTCTGAATGACAGATGGGTTCAGGGGAGGTACATGCAGCAGGATGATGATGATGATGACGAAGGATTTCAAACAGAAACAGTTGATCTGGTCAGAACGAAGAGTTTTTCATCAGCCACAGTCGACTCTGGTGATCTAGATAATAATAATAATAATAATAATAATCATCATATTAAAGTCTAACAGATGAAGGCAGACACACACACACAGACAGTAGAAACCACAGTGATTCCAGAAGCTTCCAGATGGAGATCTTTATTAAAGCTCAGTTTTCCATTGTACAAATGTCGTCAGAGTTGAACCTTCATGCAGTGGCTTGGTTTGAGGCACGTTACTAAAGAGAACCAGCAAATGTCCAACTAAATAAACAAACCTTGCATAACTTAATCTCATTGATGTTGCAATAAAATTCAACTACAAAAAAAAAAGAACATGAAATATTCAATAATCTGGTCTGTACGGAGACGAGTGAAAAAACAACAACAACAACAACAACAACAACCTGAAGAACAGTGTCAGCAGGTCTGACTTGAATGGAAAACCACCTCCTGCATCAAACTTAATATTTTGACTACGTGGAATGCAGTGGGTGGAGCCACAAGAACACTCTGGAGGAGTGAGGAGAACCACGATGTCTGACGGTGATGACGTTGACAGGAGAACGGGAGGTTTTTGAAGCTCAGATCGACCTGAGCGCCGCGTTAGCATTTACTGAACGATCCGACTGTACGCAGAGAAGACTGACAGCAAACTGGTGACAGCGATGGCAACTGAGAACTCCTCACGTGACCTTTGACCCTAGACAACAATGGACACGATGGCGACGTCTGAGACTGAAAATTCATGGATGTGGGGAAAAAAAAATAAACTGTGCAAAAAATCTGCCACTGCACGACAGGAGAGCGACCGAACATGAAGTGAGACTTTACACAATGTGGTTATAAACTCTGATGTCATTAGAAAATTTAGATATGCGTTACACTTGCCGTGTTTATGTCGGGATAAAAAGCATACGATTTTGCAGCATGAGAAGAAACGGTCGGCTCTTCACTGGAAACGTCGTCCAGGTCGAGTCGCGACAAAGACACTTGAAAAGAAAGAAAGAAAAAAAAGAAAAGAAAAACAGTACAGGCGCGCACACACACACACACACAGCTACCCATCGTACTGACCTCCCCCACGGCTGCACACACACACACACACCAACCCGCTGACCACAAACACCAGACGAGGCCGCGGCGTCAAATATCACAACCTATATTTTACTTTTGGCAAAACAAAAAGCTTAAAGTTTGTTGATTGGTCGACGAAGTCGTCCGTCGGCTCCCAGCTGAGGCCGGACCAACGCCGACGTCAGAGCACAGAATTACAGGCAGGAAGAGGAAAACGAAAAAAGAAAAAAAAAAAAATGGAGGGCGAAGTCGCAGGCAGAGAACATTCTACGATAATAAAACATCTGAAAACAAAAAGTGGTAAAACAGTTGCTGAAGAGTCTCCTCCTCCTCCTCCTCCTGCTGCGTTCTCTTTTCTCCTCCTCCCACCCATAACCTGAGGCACAACATGGAGTCCAGGCCCTGAACTTTCACAGCTTCTCACCACGTTCTCTGAAGGTCACTCCTCACTAAAGGAAGCAGCAGTTTGTCTTTTGTGGTGACAGAGAGGAGAGAACACGGATCCAAAAACAACAAGACTGTATCAATAACCAACAAGAACCAGAACCAATCACCAAAGATATTAAGACCAGGAGAGGAGTGGGGGGGGGGGTCTGATAAGGAGGGGGGCATCACAGTACAGTCTGCCTTCCATGGGAATGTTAGAGAGAGGAGGGAGGAAGGGCAGGTGAGGGGTGACAGAGGGAGGGAGGGAGGGAGGGGGGAGGACAGAAGAGGAGGACAGCAGTGGACCTGTCCTCGTTGATCTCTGTGGTGTTTGTTTGTTTGTTTGTGCATTTGTGTGTCCTGTTGTCATGACGAGGTGGGGGGTTCTATTCCCACTCTGTGGTACCCGGCGGTTTGGAGGTGAGGTCATACATGACTCTGGAGATGCCTGGGATCTTCTGGATCTCATTCACCATCTTCAGCACCACCTAGTGGAGAACAGTGGACAAAGATCAGGGAAACTGAAACAACAACAACAACAACAACAACACCACCACCAACAGTCGTCCATTACCTCCTCAGGGATGTGGTTACCAGGCGTGGCAGGGATGCCGGTCATGAAGTCGCTGGTGATGAAGGTGCGGACCACCACGGAGCGCCGACAGGACGGCTGCTTCTGCAGAGGGTCGCGGTCAAAGTGCAGCGGAGTCAGGATGACGGGCATCTGGCTGATCTTCCCAGAGTAGCCTGGAGAAAGACAACGAAAGAGTGAAGTACTACAGTACCTGTACTCAGTCACTGGGGGTGTAGTAGTACTACATACTGGTGAGTACTCATCTGGAATAATACTTCTGATTTTCTTTTGAATGAAGGTTATTGTTAAAACAAAAAGATTAAATCAACAGTTAAGGTGGACTGGACTAATCCAACCTTAAAGCCTTTGGTTGCTGCCTCGTGATTGGTCGACCACCTTAAAGCCTTAAAGCTTTTGGTTGCTGCCTCGTGATTGGTCGACTTCATTATACTGTATATAGTCCTGTGTATCTAATGAGTGTTAGCCTGACGTCAGGAGCAGCTGTTATTGTCCAGACAGGAAACGACAGGAGGACAACATGTTCAGACCATGGACCACAGAACCATGGACCACAGAACCATGGACCACAGAACCCACAGAACCACAGAACCATGAACCACAGAACCATGGACCACAGAACCACAGAACCATGGACCACAGAACCACAGACCATGGACCGTTTGGTTCTGGTGTCAACAGCAGACTCTCAGTCTTCATCTGATGGTGTCCAACAGCAGACTCTCAGTCTTCATCTGAGGCGACTCGTTCCTCCAACACACAGTTGGTGTGAAGTTCCATAGATAGATACCAGCTGACAGACAAGTGCCCTCTTCTGGTTCAGATCAAACACTTCAGGATATGAGATATGATATAATCACAACCAGTTTATTTAAAGGTTCATTTCATAAATCAATAGTCTGGTGAAGCAGTATTTTTGTATTTATTATTTATCATGTCGTTCTAACTGTGTGTGTTGATGTTTGTACAGGGCAGATTTGAAGAAATGGACATTTGGACCAAACCATTTCACTGTGTCTGTGTTTGAAGCTGCAGTGACTGGACTCACCAGACTCCCTCAGGATGGAGTGTGCCACAAAGTCAGCCTGTCTGAGCGTGCTCAGGACGCCTGTGGTCAGGAAGGTGGGCGTGATGTCCGTCGGTGGCTCCTTCACATGAGACCCAAACACATAGACCACTCTGGAAAAACACACACACACACAGTGAGTCTTTGTTAGTGTGTGTGTGTGTGCTTCACTGGGAGGTAGATTAATGTGTGTGTGTGTGTGTGTGTGTACCTGTTGATGCTATGGCACATGCGAGGGATGAGTCTGGCCAGGAACATGAGGGACTCCCAGTGAGGACACTCTTTACTGGTGATGCCACAGACGTAGCTGTAGGAGCGGCAGTCGCCCTGAGACACAGCGGTGGAATCAAACGTTACAAACGTCTCTCTGTGGTCACTGTGACCAGTTCACTGCCTCCCTAACTCTGGCTCTGAGACCCGTCTCTGTTTGTCTTCTCTCTGCCCCACAATTTGTGGTTTGGGTTAAATATAAAAGTCCAGCTGCAGACAGGAAGTCAAAGGACACGCCCACAGAGCCGGGAGCTGAGTGCAGTGACTCAGGAGTCACAACCTGTGGTCTAAGGCTAAAACAACAACGTTTTCTTTCTCATCAACAACAACTGAAGGTTAGAGGACGAGGACACCGTCTCCAGGACTAACATTGGTGCTCGGTGTCAGGAACACAGCCGTGGATTAAACCCAGGCTTCACTTTGACTGATGACGTCATCACTGTGGAGCAGTGTGTTTACCTGGACACCGACAGTTTTGATGGGCAGCAGGAAGGCATTGAGTGAATGAAGGCTGGTGATCTGCATGAGCTTTTCCTCCTCGTCGTCTGATATGCAGGACTTGACTCTCTGCAACAGGGTGTGAGGCTGCAGCGGAGTGAGCACAGAGAAAGACACGTTAGAGCTTTCTAGATCAAAACTATATAAAAACACAATATTTACAATTCTGCTCTTTCTGTGTAATGTGACCAAACGACCACAAGAGGCTGCACATGAGTAATTCTAGTGTAAAAATGATTAATTTGTTCTCTTCATATTTTAGGTTAAACAGACTCCACATCAGAACAGCTGATGATCTTATGCTTTAACTTCATGTTCTCTCTACTGGTCTGAACCAATCACAACATCATACAGCAGAATTGACCAATGACTGGAGTTACACTGATTCCAGTCATAAATATCTGGTTCTAGCAGACAGATGTGTGTTTTTAAATTGTTCACAATTCTCTCCTGTAGCTGAGTGATCACAGACACTTGTTTTCATGACATTTACAGTTTTTTTTCTGACCTTTTTGACACTGGCAGAGAAGTCGGTGATGATTTTGAGAATGTTGTTTATTTCAGCAAAATCTTTGCAGATGTACGGTTCCTCTGCACAGATCACTCTGATGGACAAACCTGGGCCTAAAGTCAGGGGAGAGGAAAAATACAGAGCTGATGTAAGAGCTGAGAGTGGGAAAAAAACCCAAACAAAACAAGAAAACAAGAGAGAGACAGAAAGAGAGAAGCCAAGAGTTTAACTCACTGCCCCGACAGCAGGGTTTATTTAGAAGTACTTGCCAGGGAAAGGATGTCGGGAGACGATCTCCTCAGGCAGACCCAGCTCCCTGCCCAGCGCTCTGACCTCATCTTTATGGAAATCTTTCAGTGGTTCGATGACTTTTCCCTGGAGGATCACAAACAGGAGGAATCAGTGTTTTAACATGGAGGATCAGGAGCTCATTTGGTTTTTCTGACATTTGTCTCTGATATGTTTATAAAAGTGAAGAGTCTGGAGTTTTGTGAAGCTCAGAGGTGAAGATTTACATGTTTAAATTGTTAAAATTATCTGTGATCTCTGGCTTCTCTGCAGCAGTCGAACTGATGGATGATTATTATTATTACAAGCTGAATCAAAACATCAGGTTTTAGACAAAGATCAACCTGTTTTTAACCATTCAGTGGATTCATGTGTTCTCTCCAGGTGTTGTACTTCTACCTGTCAAATACTAACGACTTGATTCTACATCAACACGCAGGTCTGAATTCTTCTGCAGAAGAGCTGTGTGAGAAATGAGTGAAGCAGCGTTCACGTACACACTCTCTGGTCTTAACTTTACCGTCTTTGTCAACATTAAAGATGTAACGATGCATCGTAGACCGGTGAGAAATCGATCGGTATAAATGAAAAACGAATCAAGTTGTAAAAGGTTGGCTGGTCAGTACCTCATCTCGAAGTTTGCGGATCAGCTCGGTGTCATTGTGGTGTGTTTTGATGACCTCTGCTTTGCCACTGGCCAGATGAGAGGCGCTCTCGATGAGGTCAGGCCTCAAGGTTCCCTGGGCCAGAAAGACCTCGTCTGGATTCAGGTTCATCTCTCCGATCACTTCGTTGGCCACCTGAGAAACAACGCCGTTCAACATTTACAGCAGTTCAACAACAGCCTGAAGACGGAGAAGTTGACACTCGACATGAACCAAAATAAAAATACAATACAGATTAAAAAAAAAAGAAACCTGTACTGACTTTGACAAAGGTGTCTCCGATGATTTTTCGTTTCTCCTCGGGGTTGGTGGTCATGTTCAAAGTCTTGCTGATGCGTTTGCGTGGCGTCCTGTCCTCCTCAGAAATGGGAAGTGTTGTTGTTCCATTGTAGAAGGTGTGAGCTGCGTTCACCACTGCAGAGTGACATGAAAGATAAAACGATCAGAGTCTCCTTTACCTGAGAACAACCTGGAGGTCGACTCCACAGGAACCACATCACAACAGCCCCGACACTCAGGGGTCGCGTTCTCTCAGACCTTTCAGTTTGATTCCAAGTTTGGTGAGGGCCTCCTCCACACTCAGACTCTCCCTCTTCCTCATGAAGCCGTTGTCGATGTGAACGGCTATGACTTGGTCCTGGTTCAGGGCTTTGTTCAGAAGAGCTGTACACACGGTGGAGTCCACGCCGCCGCTCAGCAGAACCTGTGGGAACGATCACAGACGGAGGCGTTAAGGCGATAAAACGTCAGACGCTGCTGTAACTGTCAAACTCCGACCACGGGGTTTTTCACAACAGAGACCGTGTTTGATTCAAGTTCCACTTCAGAAAAATCTGTTCAACAGGGACAGACTGTAGAACATTAGTCTGATCAGCGTTCACGCTGTGAATTAGATATAAATAAATGTGAAAATAAATCCTTCTGCTTTGGTTTCTTGAACTCGTTGCCTTCCTGCTCCTCTGAGACGAAGCCCGGTTCAAAGCGACACAGGGAGACGGCGTCTTCTTTTAATGGAAAGAGGGTTTAATTTAAGACTTTAATTGGTTCTAATCAACTCCCTTCTACTTCAGCTGTCGCTGCTTCAGTACAGGCAAAAAACCCTCCACGCTCAGTGAGCCAGCTTCACTCTTTAGTCACAGTTCATTTCTGCCAAAGTTCGACCACGTTAATTCAAAAACCTAAAACAATGCAGAGTTTGAATGTCAACAAACATTCAAACAGATCCGTTCACTCACCAGGACTTTGGATTTCCCCACTTTTTCCTGAATGTCACTGATGCAGCTCTGTTGGCGATTTTCTACAGTGAAGTTACTCGTGCAGCCGGCGATCTCAAAGAGGAAGTTGCGCAGCATCTCCATGCCTCGCTCCGTCAGGTCCACCTCAGGGTGGAACTGTGTCCCGTACAGCTTCTTCTGCTCATTGGCTATTCCTGTTGGGGAAAACGACAAACGTGACGTTTACGGTCGCTCTGACCGGTAACTAGTACTGGTTCAACTGGTACCAGTGAAGTTTGAAAAGAAAACTTGCTGCTCACCAGCGATGATGATCCCTGATTGGGCCACCACTTTGAAGCCATCGGCCACTTTATCCACACTGTCTCCGTGGGTCAGCAGGACCAGCTCCTCCTTCTGGAGACCTCTGTTGACGTGAACACACAGATGAGGCAAACATAAGATACCAGGATATGTTTTCTGCAACACCAGCGTGTGATAACTGTGTGTGTGTACACACACAGTTATCACAGTGTTATCACAGTCTGCACGAGGGTCAAAGGTGACCGAACTGGGGTCAAAGGGAAAACCAAACAACTGCCAAACTTATTTGGTTTGAGGAGCGACTATATTTGGACAAAGACTGTGATTTTACTGTTTATACTTTGAACTATAGTTTGCATATATATATATACACACACACAGTGGTATATAATCATCTGAACCTTTATAAGGTTATTTCATCTTATAATTGATATTTATGTTCATACAAGAACTAAACCGTATTACCTGAAAAGAGAACAGGTGTTGTCCAGTCCCACACTGAACACTCCGTCTTCCCTGACACTCTTTTTATGGACCGTGCCTCCAAAGACTTTATTCATCATCTGAAACACAAACAAGAGTCAAACCATGACCTCAGTGACCTCAGCTTCAAACACACCAGTGACTGAATATAGTTGTCCATAAACCAAGTACCTGCATCCCATAGCAAATGCCAAGGACTGGTTTTCCTATAGTGAAGATGGCAGGATCAAACCAGGGGGCATCTTCTGCATAGACGGAGGCCGGACCCCCTGAAATGATGATCGCTCTTTGGTGTTTATGAGGGTGAAGGGGAGACAGAGAGAGAAAACATTTACAACAAACACAACCACATACAAGTGTGAACGTGTGACATCACACACCAGGCTAACACACACCCCAGGTGTGACATCACACACCGGGCTAACACACACACACCCCAGGCTAACACACACACCAGGTTAACACACACACACCTCAGGCTAACTCACCTGTAGCCCTGTTCTCTGAGGGCAAAGGCCGGGGTTTCTAAGGGCAGGATGTCGGAGCGTACGCAGAGCTCCCGCACCCGTCTGTCAATCACCTTGCCGTACTGGGCCCCAGCATCCAGGATGGCCACCGCACCCTCACATGACCCATTCTGCTCTGTGCTGCTGATCTCCAGCTGTGGACACAAACAGATCCTCTCAGACTGGGGGTTTTGTGACAGAGAAGTCAGTGTAAGATCAGAGAGAGGATTATTCAAGTCCCAGTGAATCTCGGACTATTTTACAGAAAGGTCATGGGTTCGTGTCCCGTCTCCTGCATTGTCCAAGCGACTTCCCCAGACAAAGTCCGGCTCCACTTTGTCCTACATGGGCAGCGCAGAACTGTTGACCAAATTCCTAAACATTCCCTTGAGTTCCTGCCTACAAACAGATTTAGTAACAGGAGTAATTACTAAGGGGGGGGGGGGCTAGATCAAGAGACAAAAATAAAGTTTCAATTATAGTACAGACGGTACGAGGCACTTCAATGAGAAACAGCACTGACTCCGTCACGGATAATGTGACTCAATACGGCGCGACACGATTATAGACGTGGACTCCGACACAATCAGTAGATTCACGTGAACCCCAGGTTAAACCTGATACAATAACGGACCTCCTGACAACGACTCTCCGTCTTTAGCTTGTTGTGGCAGCAGCATATGTTCGCCGATGCCGTATGTTTACACTGATTTTGGGGCATTTTAACTCATAACGTTCAGAGAGGATCTTCATGGAATATATAATATGTAGAATATTTGCATACTTTTATACGTTTTTCTTGGCTCGTTAAGAATAACACGCGAAACACACGAGTCCCACGTGGAAACACTTCCGCCATTTGTTTCCAAACAACTCAGATTGGACGTGTCACGCCTTTATCTCTAGTTTTTCGTCCGTTACAACATTTATCTTAAACATTAGTGTTTGATCTGTAATGTGGAAACTCTGTCTGACGATTAAAAACAACAAGTCTGAACAGAGGAGCTGTGAAAGGAGCAGCAGCTCCTGCTCAGGCTGTCACACCGGTAACTCTTGGTCTACGACCCCTGACGTTAGCAAACCTGTCCTGTTACGACATCCACCAGTGACAACAACATTACAATACGACGTTTTGCGTTTAACGTTCACGGGGGGCGGTGTGACGTAGTACTCATTAATATTAGCGCCGTTATGACAGATTGTAACTGCGCGGCTAACGAACATATAGCATGTTAGCTCGCATAAATCAGACAATTAGCATTAGCATGTTAGCAGCTGGCTACGTTAGCGGGGCTATGCCAAAGCCCACGCGGTGTTAGTAGTAAATGGTCATAGAGTGAGACGAGGCGGGATACTGTTTCCAAACGACCAGCAGTTTCAATAAATATTTAAACGCCAACTGTCACTGTGACTGTGACATGGGCCTGGACACAGAGGGGCAACACGTCCAGGTAGCCCCGCTACAGACAGACGACATCGGACTCATGCCTCTCAGTGGCGCCGGTGTTCACGTCACGTTCGATCCTTAACTTTTCTCCTTTACCCCCGAGGTTTAAACAGGCCGAATTAAACCCGGCGGTGGACCACACCGGGGGCTGCGGTCCTGACACCATGTCACCCAGGTTGGCTGAGTACCTAAGCCGCGGGGAGACACTCCCGCTGCACTGACCTTGCTGTCTCCGTTGCACAGAGCCATGGAGGACCGCCGAGTAGTGGAATGAGCTGTCCGCCCGCTTAGCTGTCCCACGTCTCTGTGTCCCTCACACACACACACACACAGAGAGAGAGAGAGAGGCTCTCACAGACAGTGACAGAGCCTCCGTTAAACACCGGGCTCAGTTCTTCAGTTTCTAGCGGACCGGGCAGCGTCAGCTTCAGCTTCTACTTCTTGTTCTGTTGGGGTTTTGGCGGTTGGAATGAAACCAGGAGCTGTTTCAAAGGCAGACTGTCTCTTTGATGGACTGTCACGGTCTCTCCTCCTCCTCCTCTTTCTTCGGCCCTGGCTCCAGAATAAGTCACAGAGTGGGAGGAACACGCCACATAAATGTACCCGTGCTTTACGGGTGGAGCACAAAGTTTTAAGTGTTGGGGGAGGAGGTGGAGGGAGGTGGGGGAGTAAACTAGAGAGTGGTTTTTATTTGTCATCTCCAAACTCTTGAATAATCTACGGTTTTACTCGTTTAATAACGAATTGTACAATAATAAAAACTTGCAGAGGGTGGGGGCTGTTACTACACTCATAATTTTTGAACCTACTGGATAGAATTAGAACTCATTAGTCAGTGGTTCTCAACCCGTGGTATGTGTATCACAGCTTGGTAGATGTATTTGGGCACCCTCTAGTGGTACACAGAGAAATCTGAGTCCAGAGTTACTGCACCTACAGTGGTCAGAACATTCAGAACTCACCCGTCTCTCTGAGTTCCTTATTCCTCCCACCGTGGGGAACCAACACTGGTGCCATTAAGTGCAGTATGTGGCAACTCACAGGGGGCGCCATTAGGGATCTGTGGTCCCTCTGAGAATGGAAAGCAGAACCCTCTGCTCTCTGACTGCAGGGCGGGTGTTCTAACCACAACACTCATGAACCTCAGTGACTTTGGTTTGGAGTGGAGTCTTCAGGATGTTGTTGTAGTGTTCTCTCTCTGCTGCTGCTGCTGCTGCTGCTGCTGCTGCTGCTGCTGCTGCTGCGGGCTGGTCTGTGAGACGAGAGACACTACATTTAGTAACGTAGTAGTGGATATTCACTAGCCAATGGAGATGAATGTAGTACTATATAAATATAAAGTTGCACCAGACAACACACAACCCTGTAAATAATAATAAAAACCCATCAAACGTTTGTGTTTTAAACCCAGTAGAAAATCCCTGCATGTGTGACTGCACTCCTACAGTCAACCTCATATCACATACAGTTAGACTCGGTGGATATTTCCCAGCAAAGGCAGCAGGGGTGTGTGAAGATGGCCTGTACGCTCACATATGTTCCAGGTGTGTGTCAACAGAAGTCGGACCTTCTCTACATTCATAAAGATTATGACACGCACCTGGAAAATTTGAAGACCAGACAATGTTCCTGGTGCATAACTGAGGAATGTCACGGCCCAGACCCAGACATACTGTGAGCCACATTCCACTGGAGGGAAAAATGTTACAGTAAATGAGGCATTTTGAAGGTTTAAAAGGAGTAGTTTTTTTTATTATTATTATATCAGAGCTAACGGTGTAGTAAAATATGAACGTTACCACAAAGTGTGCACACTTGAGCGTGACCTTAGGTTGGACTGCATCAAAGTGAGCTTTTCTAAGATTAAGTGAAAAATGGAAACATGATCACAAGCATCTGATTTCATATTACTCACACTCTGTGGTGCTGTGGCATATATATTTCACTAAAATATTCCTTATACAAATACAATTCACTGGTTTATACACAACAACTTAAATGACAACAACAGTCTGAACTCTGAGCTCTGCCTGACGACTACACAGTCAGAACAAACTGTAATAGATTCAAATGAAACCTCCCATAGTTTCAACAGCGTAACAGAAGTAGCCGTTTGAAATTTAAATTTGTAAATTTTTTTTACACAACACTGTTTTGCCTTGACAAACACAAGCACACACAATACTGTTTTGCCTTGACAAACACAAGCACGTGATAAACTGTTAGCTTTTTTCGACTAATGTTGTCACATGGTGATTCACCCAAATGTGCTTGTGTCCTGTCACATGCCACCGTTCAGGATAAGCAGCTTCACATGTACTTATAGCAACCGCACGGCACAGCATGCAGTTGTTCATTTCCACTAAATGGGTTCATAATGGATTCATCATGACCAATAAAAGATCCTTTAATCAAGTGATTAGCAGCAAGGCTTTAGTCAGACCTCTGAGGTGGAAAGAAAAGCTTCAATTATAAGACTGAAACCATCGACATGTGTCCAGGACTTAAAGTTATTTATTAAAATCAAAACATTTTCTGTCTTAGTAAGGAAATAATTTCAGAAAATCCTTTAACAGTAGATGACAATTCAGACGAAACTTTTACATTAAAAATGTATTTATTTATTTATTCTAAAACAAAACATGTATTTATTTATTTATTCTAAAACAACATTACCTGTAATTACCCTTTTTTTATCACCACTATGTCACTTCGGCTTGTGTTGCCTTTGGCATCACGAAGTCTGATTCATTGGGACGTTTGTATATTTGATTATAATTTAATAAAGTTGAACAGCACCATCTTGTGTTGTTTTTATATAACTGTAACACTGACGTGAATCATTACAACATCTTTGTGAATGCGCCAGAAAAACGAAATTAATTTAGTAAATAAAAAGTTTTTCCACAGTTAAAATAAATGGGATTAAACGTGAGTACGGATTATTGAAATTAGGATAATGCACCGTGTATATACTGAGAAATACTGGCCCTAATTCTCAGAGATTTCATTTCATTTGAACCAATTAAATTTTCTACGGTTGATAAAGTTCGTCTTTTTTTCGTTTGCTTTTGTTTTTTGCACAAAACGGCATCGTTCTTAACAAAAGGAAAGTTAACTACGTGTCATATTTCGTGGTGTTTGCAGTGATGTGCTGTGTTCACTTTACTTCCTTTAAAAGACAAATATTTTGCGACGTCCTACTTTTCGGCTCTTTTGTAGGTGGTTTGTTTGTTTGTTTGTTTGAATTAGAACAGCACTCAGTTTAAGGAAAGTTTATCAAACTACTAAAAAAACCCAACGACAATTATCATAACAGCAAACGTAAACTAAGGTCCGAAATGTCCGACAACAAAGGAATGTAGTGTCATTAAACCGACGGCGTTAAAGCGGAACTCTTGCTGGTTGTTCTGACACGTCAGCCGTAAATGCCGGACACAATTGTTTGATGCACTTGCCGCACTTCCTGACTCTCCGTGTTGACGTTCACTGAAGTAGCCGGTGTAAAGTCAAATGGTAGCCACTCTTCCGTGTTAATTTTCTTTGTTAAAGACTAATAACTTCAACCGAATAATCAGTTACATCTGTAAAGACGATGGTGTAGTTTCTACTATTGTTGCCTGTGTAATTCGCCGTTTTGTTCATGGATGTAAATGCATGGTTTTGTTGTGATTTTCGTTGGTTTGTCATGTCGTCATCTTCAGGTATGATCATCTCTGTACTTGCATGAGTTTAATCAATGTGTTCTTTTCATGTCGATGATCTCACATCTTTAACTGATTGTCTACCTTTACCGAAAAACAATATTTCAATGTCAACGCATTTGACATTGACAGGTGACAGAGATAAACACAGTTGTAATTATAAGTTGTTCGTTGTTGTTCTACACCGACACCGGGGGCTGTTGTTTGTTTATTTCCAATGGTTGACGATTTCTAAATCGAGAACAAATTTCTGGTCTTTTGAGAACTTTTTTCTTTCATTTGACCCTGTTCAGATTTTGACTTTTAATTTGCAGGTGTTTCTCCTCCTCCACTGTGTGCTCTACAGCAAGCCGAAGGTTTTTGTCTGTAGTTTTTAAATTGATTTCTGAGTTTCCTTTTTAAGAAGAAATGTCAACACACAACGTGCCATATAATCTCTTTTCACAAACTGAAATCCGAGATGTCTTTCTAGTGAATGCTCTGTTGGTTGATGCCGTTTTCTGTTAATGTTTAGTCAGTGGTATTTTTACATGGACTAGTTGAACTCTAAGGATGTCAGACGTGTGGACGGGATTTCTTTTCATTTTGTGTGAATATTCTTCTTTCAGTGAAAACGGTTCCTCTTCATGTCTTTCCTCAGTTTTGCTGAGGACACGTTACGATTGACGTCCACTGCTTCAACATGGAGCCTTCTGAAGTGATCACGCACAAGAACGGGCGGCAGAGGAAGCTGGTTGGTTTCCCTTTAAACCAAAATATGAGGTACACGACAAAGGATGGAAAAAGTGACTCTGAGACGGACGATGAGGAGGAGACGGCGAGTTTGGTCAAAGACTCAGGTGTAGAGGACGGGGGACACACGGTCCATCCTGGGATCTACGGAGAACTAGGCAACGTGTCCCTCCTCCTGTTTCTCTACGTCCTCCAGGGGATTCCTCTGGGACTGGCCGGGAGCATCCCCCTCATCCTGCAGAGCAAAAATGTCAGCTACACAGATCAGGCCTTTTTCAGCTTTGTCTTCTGGCCCTTCAGTCTCAAACTCCTGTGGGCGCCCCTGGTGGATGCGCTCTACTGCAGTCGGTTTGGTCGGAGGTAACAACGTCATTTTCTGTCTGTAGCACGGTCATGTTTCTCATTGGTCTCCTCTGAGTGCCCTGTCTCCCTCTTCACCTCCGTCTACAGGAAGTCCTGGCTGGTGCCCACGCAGTATCTGCTGGGGCTCTTCATGCTCTACCTCTCTGCAACGGTTGACTCGCTGCTGCCAAGGGAGGGGGGGGCAAACGTCGTCGTAATCACGGGCGTCTTCTTTTTACTCACCTTTCTGGCTGCAACACAGGTGCGTCAGTCAGACGGCGACTGTTTCCATCAGTCACAGTCAGTGTCTTCATCGCTGCACACGTTCTCTCTTCCAGGATATAGCTGTGGACGGCTGGGCCCTGACCATGTTGTCCCGAGAAAACGTTGGTTACGCATCGACGTGCAACTCCGTGGGTCAGACCGCCGGCTACTTCCTGGGGAATGTGCTGTTTCTGGCTTTAGAGTCTGCTGATTTCTGCAACAAATACCTCAGAGATGAGCCCCAGGACAGAGGCGTGGTGACGCTGTCAGGTAAAGATCAGGGGTCGTCTGTCAGGACAAAAACCAATCTGTGGAATTCACAAATGACACTCACGCTTCCTGTTGTTCCCTCCAGACTTTTTGTTTTTTTGGGGAATTGTCTTTTTGATTTCCACGACACTCGTGGGCCTTTTTAAAAGAGAACGAGAGCCGAGCAGAGGAAAGAAGAAGGAGGTTGAAGAGACGAAGGACGTGTGGGAAACGTACAAGCTGCTCTTCTCCATCGTGAAGATGCCCACGGTCTTCACCTTCTGTATTCTGCTCCTCACTGCCAAGGTAAATGACCGTGGTTGATGACCTCCAGCCGCCGACAACCACACACCAACAGCCTCCGTGTGTGTGTTCCAGGTTGGTTTCTCTGCTGCCGACGCGGTGACAGGCCTGAAGCTGGTGGAGGCCGGAGTTCCCAAGGAGCAGCTGGTGTTGCTGGCCGTGCCGATGGTGCCTCTGCAGATCCTCCTGCCCCTGGTGATCAGTAAATACACCGCAGGTCCTCGACCCCTGGACGTCTTCTACAAGGCTTATCCTTTCAGGTAGGGACACGAACGCGCAGACGAGTCGAACAGACACTTGACTTCAAACGTTATCAACTCAGGACTTCAGCCTCTGACCTGTGGTTTCAGGCTGATCATAGGAGTAGAGTACGCCCTGCTGGTGTGGTGGACTCCCAGTGTGAGAGGAGAGGGAGGCTTCCCCATTTACTACTACGGCGTGGTGCTGCTCAGCTATGCCGTGCATCAGGTCGGATATTTCTGTCGGCACCGTTCTCCTAAAATGTCTCATTATAGTTGATGTATTTTTCTGAAGTATGAAGTAACAGTTTTCTTAATAATGAACCCTAACAGGAGAGGATAATACAAAAAAATAAAACTAAAATACACATTTTAGTTAATAAAAACTAAAATGGCCGACGGCCATCAGCAGGATGATGATCCAAACCTCTGACCGTTGTTCATTTACAGCTGAAGCTCAGCCTGGTCTGTTGACACTTGGATCATGTAAATGTTTCTTTGTGTTGAGAAAACGTGATGTTGTTTGTAGACACCTGAAGAAACAAGAACTGAAGTTCACGACCTTCACATGTGATCGTCAGTGACTGGAGAAACAAACACCACAGAAGAACGACATTTGTACAGAGCTGTAGACAGAGGGGAGGCCTGAGGACACACACACACACACACACACACACATTTATATACTTCCTGACTGTCGTGAAGGGGTTAATACAGTTGTATCTATCTGACGTCAGACGTCACCGAAATGATAAGTTTTAACTTTTTTTTTATTGTTGTATCAGAAACCTATAATTAGCCACCACAAATGTTTTGCCTTCTTTTTAACCTAGGTGGCGCTGTACAGCATGTACGTGGCCTGTATGGCGTTTCACGCCAAGGTGAGCGACCCCCTCATCGGTGGGACCTACATGAC